TTCTAAAAAGCCATATAGTTAGAGTCTATATTCAGTTTTGCTGAAACTGTTACAGCAGACCAATTAAATCAATTGCAGATATCAACTGACCATGTGTGTCACGAGAAGGCATAGCCTGGAGTGGCCACCAATCAGATTACTTTAAAGGCTATGAATATCTTTATGAAAATGATATTCTTGAGACAGAATTTGATATTCTGATATTCATCACATATTTTTGTTTATTCCATAGTTAGCATGATATTCATAGGATAACATGTGAAAATAAAAACGATATTTTTGTAATCAGTGGTAAAATATGATATTTTTGACAAATTTTCACTTAACCATAACATACGGTTTTTTAGCCATGACATACGACGTCGTATGCGATGGTTTATGGATTTTTGCTACTTCAGACTCAAAACGAGGCTAAGTGTCAACATCGCCGGATCGTTTGGAAATTCGAATTAAATAACTTAATTTCCGACGATTCTGATGATGACTTTAACTATGGAATAAAAAGAACATCCTATGATTTACTCGTGATATGATTTTAATGCACTCATGGATATTGATATCTGCACTCTCTCGCTACGCTCGCTCGTGCAGATATCATATCCATTCGTGGATAAAAATCATATCACTCATAAATCATAGGATATCCTCTATTTCACTCAATATGAACTGAGAAGGAATGGGACGCCATGGATTATCAGGATGGATTAGAGTTTGATATTGTCATGACAATTGAATATTATGTAACACTCTGTAATGTTTCAATATTAAAGGAAATAAATACACAATAACATCACACTTAAAATGTTCAATGATGACGATACCATATTGAACAAATATTTCACTCTATTTTCGGTGAATACCTGTAGCACTTTCACAAGTGATATTCCACGAAGCCCGAAGGGTAAGTGGAATATCACCTTGTGAAAGTGCTACAGGTATTCACCGAAAATAGAGTGAAATATTTGTTTTATTATATCACTGTCTAGCTAAATATCCCGAATATTATTAAGTCATAGGTTAACATTGAAATACATTGAATCTACTCGGTTCGTCTGCCATTTTGACTTACACTGAACTAAATTATTTATACTGAACGAAAACAAATTCTTTGAAAATTCCCGGGAGCGTGGGATATCGCTAGATATCTCACGGTTGTCTTATCTGATTAGCATTGCCATTGAATATCGCCAGATATCCCACGACATGTGACCCGGTTTTGACCAATCATACTGTCGCTAGCTAGGTAGTGATATAATAAAGACTAATATTATACCAGAACACAAAATGTAAACTACTAAATCAGAGCATATTTCTTGCTCAAAAACAGAAAGATGTGATGAATACCAGAATACCTTGGGGCCTTTCTTTATGGCTTAAAGACCTTAATGATATTTTTTTCTTATTTTTTCTTAGATTAAAATTTTGGGTCCCCTTGTCAGGATCCAAGCCCATCTTGTGAGTACAGTACATGTATAAATTGCCAAGTGTCTTTGCTGTGTCTAAGGTTTCAGGTTTATGTTTCTTGATACAGCTGTATTATAAGGTTTCGGTTTATTTTTGATACAGCTGTACTATAAGGTTTCAGGTTTATGTTTGATGACGCAGCTGTACCATAAGGTTTCAGGTTTATGGTTCATGATGCAGCTGTACTATAAGGTTTCAGGTTTATGGTTCATGATGCAGCTGTACTATAAGGTTTCAGGTTTATGGTTCATGATGCAGCTGTACTATAAAGTTTCAGGTTTATGGTTCATGATGCAGCTGTACTATAAAGTTTCAAGTTTTTTCTCTCACTGGTTACTTATGACATCTAGAGGTTGTTTTATTGACATATTGAAATTCTCTATGTAATCTCATACATTTTGTAGAATTATGGCACCCAGGGTACACTTTGTGAAGTTATTTGCAGAATTTGTTTTCTCAAACGTGCCATTCAGCATGTCCCATGGCCTCAGAAGCCTAGACAAGATAGTTCATTAGTTAAGTAGTTAATGTCCAATATTTATTAAGTGATTCTAATTCTAGCTCTCTCTTTATGAGCCGGGAGTCTATTATGCCTTTGTTTGTGATGTAACCACAAGTTACATCATTCAGTGGTTGGTGTTGGCAGTTGGTATTAATTGTTAGTATTCATCATCTCTGTGAAAAATTGTCACACTTATGTTACCATTGAATAAATTACCAGGTATCTATATGATATTATGTTGTTTCAATGCTTTGTTTGCTTCTTGATTTTTATAAGTTTCATTATCCTACACATAAGTGTACTATATGTAGAATAACATAAAAATATTAATTTGATATCTATTGGCAAAATAAATAACTGGAGGATATAGTCACGATATACTCCGGGAAACCAATATGCGGAGGGTATCGTTGATTTCCCGCAAAATTATTACTATTTGACAAAAAAATTTATTTTTCAATTATATTAAACATTTAGTTTACACTACTAGTAAGGATAATAAACATCCTATGACTGCAGATATCAATATCACCTCGTTGATAAAAATGATATTCCTCAAAATCATAGGATATCCTATAATTATCAGAGACTGTTTTTCCTTAGATGATATAATATCATGGATTTTATATGGACTGTAACACTTGTTTATCATTCTGGCTCATCTCTCATATTGTTGAGATAATGAATGTCAGTAAGATCAAAAAATACAAAAATGAGGTTAATCTAGCTATTATCTATTGTTTCGTCTGATTGACACTATCTAGCTAGGTTTTTGTATTGATATATCGACAGATGATATTTTATTATGACTTGATATATGAGGTTTGGTTATTATTTTTTGTGAAATAAAGCAGTGAAACTGATGCCTATTTATCATCATCTACATCATGAGCGCACTGCTTTATATTAAGTTTGACGGGAAATAATTGCTTGTGTATGCTAAGCCGTGTGCCATACACATTCCACATTGATTAAAGAAGCTTGATTTTCATTAGATACTGTAAAAGCCCAAATTTTCAAGGTGCCTTAATTTTCACTATATTCGCTGAAGAGGCTAGACTGTGAAATTAAAGGCACAGTGAAAATTTGACTTAACATTGAATTCAATTGGATATTTCTTCAAACAGTGATTTAATGCCCATGAAACATTTCAGATTGACAAAATAGTGAAATTTTTTGTCAGTGAAAATTTTAACAGTAAAAGGTATTGTTAAATTTTACCATTGTAAAAGGAACTGGTAAATGACGGATTTGGAACTATAATCTACACTGGTGAAAAACCATTAAAAAGACATTGTATTGAATAAGTAATCATCTTTACTTAGTTCTGAAGAATTGTTACAGAAATCTTATCCAAAGCACATTTCTTTAAGATTAAAAACACTAAAGGGAATGACATTACTTTCAACTGTCATTCTATTATGCTTGTTTTTTTCCCACTGGTGTAATTAATAAATATGTGAGACACTTTGCTCCCAGCTTGGGCCAGACTGGGAACTGGTATTATTGTGCTATGGCTCCAATAGATAGAAGAATCTAATTTTACTATTTAGGGAGTTTTGTAAGTCTCTGTTAATTTCATTTCTTGCTGATTTCACTCATTTCCACTCTAGTAAAACATGACTTTCAGATAATTTGTTTAAGAGGTCTTCCATGCAGAAAAGTATGTATGTCTTTCAGATAATTTGTTTTAGAGGTCTTCCATGCAGAAAAAGTGCTCAGATATATAAGTACTGTATGTCTTTCAGATAATTTGTTTTAGAGGTCTTCCATGTTGAAAAGTATGTATGTCTTTCAGATAATTTGTTTTAGAGGTCTTCCATGCAGAAAAGGTGTTCAAATATATAAATACTGTACATCTTTCAGACAAAGTGTTTCAGGGATATATGTTGACCTTGTGGAATATGAGAAATATTCACTATTATGAAATGTTGAACTATTGGATAGAAGTTTTTCTTAATTTTTTTGTTTGTTAAAAAGTCATTTTAGAAGAACCCACTTACTTACTTACTTATTGTCTCTCTAATATTCAAAACTAATATTTTCATGAAAATTGTGACCTACTTTTTTGTTACTTCAATGTGAACTAAATGATTAAAAGTAAATAAATAATGGCCTGATATCTTATGTGAGATACCCTGGTATAACTGAGAACTTTGGACTGCTATAGTCTACCACATGGATGTTTTTGTGTTGTTAGTTTTGAGATAATTGTACAGAATAAAACAAGAATCTAAAAATGTTTCAAACAAAGAAAAAGGTAAGGATTTTGAAATTTGATCTGGCTTGAAATCTGAAAAACTGATCTCATCTATAGATGTCATTGACAAATATTCAGATACTATCATTACATGCTAAATCATCCAGGTATGATGTGTGAGTGGTAAAACAAAATATCAGACTAGATATCATTTTTACACGATGTGTGCAAAATATTGTCTAGATATAATTTTACATGGTGTGTGCAATTTAGCAAAATATTGTCTAGATATCATTGCTATATAATATTTTTGTTATATATTGACCAGAGAAAAAGTTTAATGAAATGGCAATATGAATATTCATATGATAAGTACATACATATTTAATTTCATCTGATCAAATTAAGAAAAGGTCATTGTGTCAGCCAGTGTATCAAACAACAGTTTGTCAGATTTAGGATAACCAGGATCCAAAAATTGGCAAGGCAAATTTAGATAGGCAATGTAATAGTTAACGAGTAATATTATACTTCTATGGACAGTTTAGTCAGTCCCTTGTCTAAAAATAATCTTTTTTCTTTGAAATGGTCTGACGAGATCCTCACCTACCTCATAGATCCACAGCTTATTAAAAGTATATGGTATATAATAGTCATGCTCCTCACCATGTGTTTGTAATAGATTTAACTGCTTTATTTGGATGTTTCCTTTTCATGAATATTGAATATATCACATGTTAAAAATGTGATTCTATGAAAATATGAATGCGCAAAAATATGTAATTTATTTTAGGAATGTTTATAGCTTCATGACGATTGAACATATATTTTCAGGAAAAACCCTCAGGAAAGAGTTCACTGGGCTTTGAAAGTGAAGAGGAAAAGTTGAAAGCAAGAAAAGCCAAGAAGTCGAGTCTGTGAGTATATTACTAGGTGCTTTCACATAAGGAAAAATCAAATCTGCATGCTAACAAAATGTGTCAATGCATATTATGTATTGTATTTACATTTGGGAGTAAATGTATAATTTTTTAATTTTCAATTTGTGTATCATATTTACTGCTTTGAACTTTTGTTGTCTGTAAACATATACTTTTAAAAACATACTAAACTTTAAATGATTTTTATCAATATGTATATATGAATATCATGTGAGTGCATAAGCAAGGTAAATACATGTAGGTGCCTTGCAATGAATTATAAGAAAATTAAACAATATAGACACAAGAATTTTTTCTGAAAATCGTTAAACTGCTCCCTGATCTAGCACTCTATGAAAAAATCTAATATTCACCAGGTCATTTTTCATATTTCATTGACGTTTAAATAAGTATGTGAATTAATATATTGTCCTTGTTATTTGTCTTTCAAGATAAAAGAGGAGTTGATCAATTCTGAGATTTAGGGTTTGAATATGTAATAGGAAGTTTCACATATAAAATATAAGTTTTTTGTCATTGGCTTGTTTCCTTTAGTATTGTGAATTAATTAAAAACATACTCTAATATTGTCATGGAGCAATTCTACAAAGGATAAGTTATTTTCATGAATCATAATACAGAGTAATAATCTAGTGAACACCACTGATCAAGTGTTCAAAGGTGACATGTGTTCATAAAAGACAAGTCCCCTTTAAGACAGCTTTTACTTTTTATGTACATGATATTTTGATTAAAACCTGTATATAAAAATCACTGAAATGGCAATTAAAATCATGCAACTTACATAAACTGTTTGAGCATGAATTGTATTTCTTTGTTTTTCAGAGCAAAGGATGTGAAAGACAAATTGGCATTCTTAAGGCGAAGACACACAGATACAGCTCTGAGTAGTACAGCAGAAAAATTGGTGAATGCTGACAAAAATAAACTTGATAGTAATTCAGTGATGTCGTGGAACAAAACATTTGATGCACTCCTATCAGATAAATGTAAGATACTTTAGATTTAACCCTCCTCCCTTCCAACCAGAAAATTATCCTTAGTAAGAAGTACAATTGAGGAGAAACATTTATGTTATTTTAAAAGTAAATGCTATTTACAAATACTAAATAGTGGTTGAATCCCTTTTCACACAAGATAGTACAGATAAAAATGTATTTATATACTCTCTTAACCTTCCAATGCATGACTTGAGATGTTAAACCCAAAAGGCATATTCAAACTTTCAATTTGAGCTTGTTATGTCACCACCACAACTTGTGACATATTCATAATTTAAAGTCTCCAACTTTTTTGTGAGGGTGGTTGGTTGTTGGTGTTCGGTGTTTCGTGGTTGGTGTGTGGCATTCAGCTTGTAACAAATAGCAAGTTGTGATGTTTTGCATGTTAATGCCTTATTATTCAGAGATGAAAATATACATTCAGTCATCTCACACCACTTTGATTTTTAATTCAAGTTTTAAATTTTCAGGCGGCTTAGATTTGTTCCGGAAGTTTCTCCAGACAGAGTTTAGTGAAGAAAACATCGAGTTCTGGATTGCGTGTGAGGAGTATCGTGAAATAAAGGACTCCAAACTCATCCCAACTGCCAATATTATATACAGTGATTACGTTGCGGTGCAGGCACCCCGTGAGGTAAACATCCCATGATATTTACATTCAAGGGTGGTATCCTATAGATTTTGGCCCTTCAATCTACATGTATTACAATACTGTGTGTTATGCCCTGATGGTACCAGAATTTGATAATACTAAAGAATTATAGAACGTAAGAACATAATATAAATGGGCTTTTAATCCCTTGAATCTCTCCCATGTAATGTTAATGCACATTTCATGTTGAACATAGTTTCTTTCTCAATGGATGAAATTACATATCTTTGGTCCATTAGGGAAATTGTAAACTTTCATACATACTTACCATTCTTGTTCTCGTTTCGTGTTTTTCCATAATGTACACTTTATTTTGCATGTGTAAAATGTTTAATTTTAGAGTGATCATTTCGTAATCATGTCTCATTGTGATGTCATTTTGTAAACTATATTTTCCAGGTCAACTTAGATTCCAAAACACGAACTATCACAATCTCTAATATGGAAGCTCCGGATCGACTAACGTTTGATATAGCGCAAAAGCGGATCCAAGCTTTAATGGAGAAGGATTCGTATCCACGATTTTTACGATCGGAGGTTTATCAGAAACTCTTAGCTGAACACAAGGATAAATTAGTCAAGGAGATATGATACTGTGTTCTATTTAGTGTTAAATTTAGAAATAATTTATTGATAGATGGCTATACTCTACATGTGTTTTTACGTATAGTAATGACTCCAGACGCCAATAGGTGGCGCTGCAATGACGATAATGGCCCCATAGGCAGGGAGGGACTCAGTAGGATAGCTACCAAAGTAGGAGGAGAGTGAATAGAAACACCAATAGATATGTGAACTGGATTTCATACATCTCTCCATGCAACAGGTAGGGGAGAAGTCTTGATGATTACAACAAGATGTACAAGAAAGTTGTGAAAGTTGTGAAAGTGCGTCGTCCACTTTGTCTAACCTCAGTGACGATGTAAGATATTTACTACAGTACAGTATCAGTGGATATCTTATTTATTGCATTGAGGTATACACATTATAATGACCTTTAAAATGGTGTATAGCTCTATGAACCATGCATATCCTTAAAGTGACAATGCAAGCAGAGACTTTACATAACTAAAGTATGTCATTTTGTTCATGCATTGAGAAAAGCAGGGATATAACCCTTTAAGTGACAATGTAATGTAGTCTTGAGGTGATAAGCATTACGTATTGTTTGTGCATCAAAGACAACAGTGGAAGTGTGCTTAGTTTAAACCTGAAAGTGTTGGATAGTAGTAAGCATACATACAGTTTCTTGCACATTATTCAAGTGATGATGCCATTTCGACATAATCGGATTAATATGAATGATTATTTCACGAATATGCCTGGATAATAACATGGAGAAACAGGTCTATCCGCCAATCACCTCTCTCATTAATAATATGACAAGAGGCTGAAGGGTAATCTTACATTTCACAAATACTGATGATTCCTTTGGCATCACCATCATTGGGGAGATTAAGAATGGACCAGAAAAAAGATTAATGGTTAAGATGGTCATGATCTCACCTCATCAGTGTCATTAATTTGCTGACTGTGTCTTGACTGAAGTTGAGGTTTGAAAGTAGCTTGCTTCAATGAATGAACATAAAAATGATGTCAGTGCTGTGAGTATTGATGTCAGGATTGTGATGTCAGCTCCTCACAAGGGAGTGATGTCAATGCCTCACTAGGAAAATGAGGTCACTTCCTCACTTGAAGATTCATGCAAGTGATGTTACGCCTCACATGGATATTAATTAAGCTATTGATAAAGAAGGATGGTAATGCCAAAAATACACAGAGATTTCAATCCCTCATATTGACAATGATGGCAATAATGGTGTCATGTGATGTCATAGCCTTATATGGATAGTCATATATTGTGTGTTGTGTTCAACACATTGTTTTAAGGAGACTGATGTCTATACCTCATATGAATAGTGATGTCAGTGCCTATTGTGAATGTCAATATCTCTTATTATGAATTATGATGCCAGAACTGTCAACGTACCTCCATTCTCCAATATACATTTATGTATAGATAAGCATTTTATGTGAATAGTGTACTGTTGTTTTACCTCAAAACTGTGTACCTCCACACCCACAGTCTTGAGGTAAGACAATGAATAGTGCTGCCTCTCATAGGTGAACTGATGCCATTGTTTTACTTTACAATGAAAAACATGATGTTCTACATCTTGGATGCTCGTTTGAGTCAAGATGCACAATTCTGTTGATGAGAGAAACTTGATGACTCAACTAAAATTGTGATGTTATCATGTATGACTGTGTCCTCAATTTTCATAATCTTGAACAGTCTCATCATCTGGAACTTTGTCATAATCTGGAACTCTGGCATCATTTGAAACTGTGTCATCAGTCACCATATGTAACTGTGTCATCATTTTGAAATGTCTCACCCTCTAATACTGTCATCATCTGGTACTAGATGGCATTATCTACCACTATGACACCTTGCACTATGTCATCACCTTCAACTGTGACATCATTTGAAACTGTGTCATCATCCAGAACTGTGTCATCAATCATCATCTGGAAGATTGTCATCATCTAGAACTGTCACATCATTTGAAACCTGTGTGATCATCTGGAACTGTGTTATCAATCATGATCTGGAAGATTGCCATCATCTAGAATTGTGACATCATTTGAAATTATGTCATCATTTAGAACTGTGACATCATTTGAAATTGTGTCATCATCTGGAACTCATAGTAGAAACAAAGTTCAAAGTGAACATTTCTAATGAATTGAATTGGTAACCATGACAACCGCTTGTGTCACTACAGTTGGGGACATAAATAAATGACAGGTGGATTTGCTGAAGTGAGGATTTCCCATGTTAAAAATAAGAGAATTTACAAGAGGCCATAAATCAGTGGATGAGATTATACAAAATGTAAAATATACAAATTTTAAGGGATATGTATCTAGACAATATTGGAAATTATGGGCTTTCAGACCACCATAATTAGGAAATGGTGATCGAAAATCGACCTGTCATTTATTTTTGTCCCCAACTGTATGGAAGTAAAGGATAAATAAAACAGACTAGTTTACAAACAATGAGGGTTGACTCCCAGAATTAACCTGGTACCTGGAAGTGAGGAATTCTGGGAGAAGTCCTCACTCTTTAGGTCAATTATATATGCATTTGAGACCATTGAGAGTACCTGGTGTACCATAGAGATGAAACAATGTGTTATGAATGCATATTTAATAGGATTATAAATACATAGGGTTATTTGAATTATTTTGTTATTATTGAATATTTACATTATTACTATTCAATGTTCAATCAGTAGATCTTCCATATTTTTATGTTAAACCACTATTGAAATGTTTAAGTAATGCAGTAAACATTATTTCAGTGGTGCATTGATATACAAAATTTGCACTGGCCAATGTTAATGTATATAATAGAAACTTGGTCTTGGTCAGGTGATTTTGTATTTCAGTGGGCCAATATTGTTATGCATACTTGTGCAACAGATTCTTATGAATGATGTCAGCAGGGGGTTTCATAATTTTCTATTTTTCATAATCAATTTTAAGGAAATTATGTTGATCTTTAATATACAAGTAGGTCATTGCTTAACCCGTAGATATCAGTGACAGAAAAATTTGGTAAAAAACAAACAAAAACAAAATCAAACACCAAATTTGCTAGAAACCAGAATTTAATAAACACCAGGTTAAAGCATAGATTTTCATTGATTAAATAGTTCATATATGTTTCGTTGATTCACAGGATTCCATTACACCAACATTTTGTAACACCAATATTTCATTTTATGTTGCCATCATTATGAATTGTATGGGATAACTTGAATTAGGAATCCACAACATTTTAAATTCAAATTTTTACTGATAATTGAATTGATATTGTGAAATGTAGCTCAGTAGATGATAGCATTGATCTTGGTGATTTCTAATTAGTTTAAACATATCAATGAATTAAATTGTTCCAACAAACAATTTCAAATGAAAAAATGTTCTTAACTAAATTAACACAATGTAGTTTAAAATTTTCAAGACCAATATGAACATGTCTAACAAAGTATAAATTAAAAATAACTGTAGTTGGGATCTACCATCTTTACAAATCTAGGTCCAAGGAGGATTGCCTCCCAGAATGCAATGTTGAAAATTATGAAAATGTCAGAATGTCGTTATTGTCTGACATTAAACTGGTTATAAATTCATAATCAGCTATTCGCAAGATTCGCGCAAATATCTTGATAGATTCTTGTGTGTTTTGAATTTTCTCATTATGTAATAATTAAAAATTAAAAATTTGAAATGAAAATCACAACATCCTTAAAGATCGGACTCATTGTTGGAAAATATTGAGATTGCATTCTGAGAGTCTATCCTCCTTGCCTTGGGTCTATCTTACTGTCTTACAGATGATATGCAATGAAGTTATGTGAAAAATGATTACTAACTTTTGTGTCAGTCTATTACATATCACTTCATTGAATTTTTGGTGAGTGTTCATATTAGAATGACAGTGTAACACAATGTAAATTGATATACCATAGGAAAGCTGAATCTTAAGATAAAGGTCTATGTTTACAGTGAAATATCATACGAAAGCTTAATCCTTAAGGAATGGTCTTTGTATACAGTGAAATATATTAAAACTAAATATTTGAATAAAGGTCATTGGGTATATCAGTACATAGGATAGCTTAATCCTTGATAAAGGAATTTGTGTATAGTGATATATCATATGAAAGCATAATCCTTAAATGAAGGTCTTTCTGTACAGTGATATATTATATGAAAGTTGAATATAAAGTAAAAGTCATTGTGTAAAATATGTCTATATGGTAGGTACATTAATGTTTAGTACCTATATAAATAATAAAAAACAGGAAACTAGATCAAGTATAATATGAGATATATTGTTAATAATTTTATTATACATATAAATTATTAGTTATAACTTAAATTGCATTGTTTCTGTTTATTATAATTGTCAAATCCACAATAGAAAGACAATGGATCTCTGATGAAATGTTGATGTTAAAATATTCTATGATCGAGTTCAATGATTCAAGTCTCATCACAAAAAGTGAAGGATCTCATTATACTTTGTGATCTTACTGGTGAATTGCATGTCCATTTCCCTAAGTGTAGTTTAACTCAGGCCCATAGCCAGAATTTGCCAAGGGGTTCACTTTTTGTAAAATTCCAGGGGGGGTTCACTTGTGACAATTTTGGTCTAAAAATGGCCAAAATCACTTAAAAAGTGCTCAGAATGGTGAAAAACTGCATGATTTTGAAAGATTTTTAACTCAAACCTATCGAACCCCCCTGGCTACGGGCCTGTAACTCAAATCAATTCCTTCATTAATCTCCAATGAAGACAGTCTGATCAAATCTGTGAAGGTCAAAATAATAATTTTCTATTCTGGTTTATATATAGGCGACCTTTAAATTGGGTTAATCTAAGATCAAGTCCTATTTGCATTTATAAACCGTCCCTAGGAAAACTCAAAGAGCATAGAAAGATTCTAATTATCCACCCGAGTGATTGTTCGATCTCACTCTACGATTTATTTCTCATGATTTAGTGATTTGTCTGCCGATAAGTTCTTTCATGATTTCATTGGTCCCTGCGTAGATTGGTTGAACACGGGCATCAACAAAGGCACGACTTATTGGGTATTCCCACATATAACCCCAGCCTCCATGTAGTTGAACACAAGCGTACGCCACTCTGTTCTGAAGGTCTGTACACCTGGATGGAATAAACCAATGCTTAAAACAAAGACTGGAACCATACATTCTATGAGAACTCAGAAATGAATAAATAGGCTGAGTTAGTTATTGCATCTGTAGCAATTGTTACACTTTTGTAACAATTTGCAATAAATTAGTTATCTCACTTACATAGACATTTAAGTTTTAACGGATTTTGATTTTTGAACAAGTTCTAGTTTAATTTCTTAAAAATGAAAAATTGGAAAAAATTTGTTTTTTACTAAATATGAATTGTTACCAATATTTAGCCATAGATGCAGTTTGTGGGTCCAGGCCCTTTTCAAGGTGTATTCTCATACAGTTATCAACAAATGCTCGCCCAACACATATCTCTGTCTTAAGTTCTGCTAACTTGTGCTGAACCGTCTGCAATAATATACATAGAAAGATGCAGAACAAAATGTTGGATAAGCAGCTTTCGGTACAACATTCCTATTAAATTTTCACTTTATGCTTCCAATTTGGTAGAGTTGAAAAGTTGAGAATTTAAGTAGAGTGGAATGTTATCCAGGTAAGCAAAAATGTTACCTGTTATTTAATTACCTGTAAATCAGCCACTGTTCTTTTAAAAGCTTTTCGTTCTTTTACATAATTTCTAGTTTCTTCAAACATCCACTCAGCATGTGCTACTCCTGAAACAGCACAATCAGATATGGTCAGAATATGGTAATACAACCAACTACCATGGTCAGAATATGGTAATGCAATCATCTAATATGGTCAGAATATGGTAATACAACCAACTACCATGGTCAGAATATGGTAATGCAATCATCTAATATGGTCAGAATATGGTAATACAACCAACTACCATGGTCAGAATATGGTAAAGCATTAATGCAATCATCTAATATGGTCAGAATATGGTAATGCATTAATGCAATCATCTAATATGGTCAGAATATGGTAATGCATTAATGCAACCATCTAATATGGTAAGAATATGGTAATGCATTAATGCAATCATCTAATATGGTCATGCATTAATGCAATCATCTAATATGGTCAGAATATGGTAATGCATTAATGCAATCATCTAATATGGTCAGAATATGGTAATACAACCAACTACCATGGTCAGAATATGGTAATGCAATCAACTAATATGGTCAGAATATGGTAATACCATAAACTACTATGGATAGAATATGGTAATGCAATCAACTAATATGGTCAGAATATGGTAATACCATGAACTACTATGGATAGAATATGGTAATGCAATCAACTAATATGGTCAGAATATGGTAATACCATGAACTACTATGGATAGAATATGGTAATGCAATCAACTAATATGGTCAGAATATGGTAATACCATAAACTACTATGGATAGAATATGGTAATGCAATCAACTAATATGGTCAGAATATGGTAATACCATAAACTACTATGGATAGAATATGGTAATGCAATCAACTAATATGGTCAGAATATGGTAATACCATAAACTACTATGGATAGAATATGGTAATGCAATCAACTAATATGGTCAGAATATGGTAATACCATAAACTACTATGGATAGAATATGGTAATGCAATCAACTAATATGGTCAGAATATGGTGATACCATAAACTACTATGGATAGAATATGGTAATACAATCAACTAATATGGTCAGAATATGGTAATACCATAAACTACTATGGATAGAATATGGTAATACAATCAACTAATATGGTCAGAATATGGTAATACCATAAACTACTATGGATAGAATATGGTAATACAATCAACTAATATGGTCAGAATATGGTAATACCATAAACTACTATGGATAGAATATGGTAATGCAATCAACTAATATGGTCAGAATATGGTAATACCATAAACTACTATGGATAGAATATGGTAATACCATAAACTACTATGGATAGAATATGGTAATACCATAAACTACTATGGATAGAATATGGTAATACCATAAACTACTATGGATAGAATATGGTAATACCATAAACTACTATGGATAGAATATGGTAATACCATAAACTACTATGGATAGAATATGGTAATACCATAAACTACCATGGTCAGAATATGGTAATACAATCAACAATGATACTACAATCCAAAACAACATCCATGATTATTATAAATGCAAATTCAACACAATGTGCTAAAAAATGTGCTACAATATTCAGTCAAATAAATGTAGCACAATTAGTGAAACTTTATTATAAAACTCAATACTAAAGCACAAACAATCCAAATAATAAATACTCCCTAACAGGATTTAAAAAATGTGCCTGGAAAAGATGTCACCACTTCATAACACACTTTTGCCTGTTTTAGCATATGTGTAAAACCATTAATTCTCTTCCAAACTTAAAGAGATCCAGTCATCCAGATTTCTCTCCCAGACAATCAGTAATGTCCCATTATAATTGCTCATATATAGAGATTATCCTATATGAGGTTCAGGATATTGGGATTATCCCGAGGCCAATATATTATATCTGCCCGAGGGCCATAGGTCCCCAGGGAAGATATATTATATTGGCCAAGGGATAATCCCAATATCCTGAACCGACTATAGGATGATCTGTTTAATCTGTGGAATTATTTTAAAATATTCATGTCCAGTTTTTTATTCTTGTCCGTAGCCGGATTTTCCTGTTCAAATATTTGATTATTAACGGGGCATACTGCTCCTTCCCTTCCCTAAAGCATCAAACAGATCGCGATTGTTTGCGTTTTTCTCCATTGTCGTTTACAGTATGCGAACGTTACAAAAAAGAACCAATACAGGAACAGCAATTAAGACGTAGTGGATATACTATATCTGCCCGCTCGGAGCGGGACGTAAAGCTATATCTGCCCGCTGATGAAAATATAAGCTTTTACAAACCGGCTTTATGTACCCGTAACACGTCCAAGTATGGTATAAAACATCTTACATGCCTATGATATATATTGAGACCAATGGTAATAACCCCAATGCTATATTGAAGCATTAAAGGGACTTGCTAATACACGTAATGCAATGCGTTTTTCTCCATTGTCGTTTACAGTATGCGAACGTTACAAAAAAGAACCAATACAGGAACAGCAATTAAGACGTAGTGGATATACTATATCTGCCCGCTCGGAGCGGGACGTAAAGCTATATCTGCCCGCTGATGAAAATATAAGCTTTTACAAACCGGCTTTATGTACCCGTAACACGTCCAAGTATGGTATAAAACATCTTACATGCCTATGATATATATTGAGACCAATGGTAATAACCCCAATGCTATATTGAAGCATTAAAGGGACTTGCTAATACAGATAACTCTAAGGCCAATGCTATATTGAAGCATTAAAGGGACTTGCTAATACAGATAACTCTAAGGCCAATGGTATATTGAAGCATCAAAGGGACTTGCTAATGCGATAACTCCAAGGCCAATGGTATATTGAAGCATTAAAGGGACTTGATGATGCAGGTAACTCCAAGGCCGATGGTATATTGAAGCATTAAAGGGACTTGCTAATGCAGGTAACTCCAAGGCCGATGGTATATTGAAGCATTAAAGGGACTTGCTAATACAGGTAACTCCAAGGCCAATGGTGTATTGAAGCATTAAAGGGACTTGCTAATACAGATAACTCTAAGGCCAATGGTATATTGAAGCATTAAAGGGACTTGATGATGCAGGTAACTCCAAGGCCGATGGTATATTGAAGCATTAAAGGGACTTGCTAATGCAGGTAACTCCAAGGCCGATGGTATATTGAAGCATTAAAAGGACTTGATAATGCAGGTAACTCCAAGGCCAATGGTATATTGAAGCATTAAAGGGACTTGCTAATGCAGATAACTCAAAAGACAATGCAATATTGAAGCATTAAAGGGACTTGCTAATACAGATAACTCTAAGGTCAATGGTATATTGAAGCATCAAAGGGACTTGCCAATGCGATAACTCTAAGGCCAATGGTATATTGAAGCATTAAAGGGACTTGCTAATACAGGTCACTCGAAGCATCAAAGGGACTTGCTAATGCAGATAACTCAAAGGACAATGCTATATTGAAGCATTAAAAGGACTTGCTAATACAGATAACTCTAAGGCCAATGGTATATTGAAGCATTAAAAGGACTTGCTAATACAGATAACTCTAAGGCCAATGGTATATTGAAGCATTAAAGGGACTTGCTAATGCAGGTAACTCCAAGGCCAATGGTATATTGAAGCATTAAAGAGACTTGCTAATACAGATAACTCTAAGGCCAATGATATATTGAAGCATTAAAAGGACTTGCTAATACAGATAACTCTAAGGCCAATGGTATATTGAAGCATTAAAAGGACTTGCTAATACAGATAACTCTAAGGCCAATGGTATATTGAAGCATTAAAGGGACTTGCTAATGCAGGTAACTCCAAGGTCAATGGTATATTGAAGCATTAAAGGGACTTGCTAATGCAGGTAACTCCCAAGGCTAATGGTATATTGAAGCATTAAAGGGACTTGCTAATACAGGTCACTCGAAGCATCAAAGGGACTTGCTAATGCAGATAACTCATAGGATGATGCTATATTGAAGCATTAAAAGGACTTGCTAATACAGATAACTCTAAGGCCAATGGTATATTGAAGCATTAAAGGGACTTGCTAATGCAGGTAACTCCAAGGCCAATGGTATATTGAAGCATTAAGGGGACTTACTAATGCAGGTAACTCCAAGGCCAATGGTATATTGAAGCATTAAAGGGACTTGCTAATGCAGGTAACTCCCAAGGCTAATGGTATATTGAAGCATTAAAGGGACTTGCTAATGCAGGTATCTCCAAGGCCAATGGTATATTGAAGCATTTAAGGGACTTGCTAATGCAGTTAACTCCAAGCCCGATGGTATATTGAAGCATTAAAGGGACTTGCTAATGCAGATAACTCCAAGGCCAATGGTATATTGAAGCATTAAAGGGACTTGCTAATGCAGGTAACTCCAAGGCCAATGGTATATTGAAGCATTAAAGAGACTTGCTAATGCAGGTAACTCTAAGGCCAATGGTGTATTGAAGCATTAAAGGGACTTGCTAATGCAGGTAACTCCAAGGCCAATGGTATATTGAAGCATTAAGGGGACTTACTAATGCAGGTAACTCCAAGGCCAATGGTATATTGAAGCATTAAAGGGACTTGCTAACACAGGTAACTCCAAGGCCAATGGTATATTGAAGCATTAAAGGGACTTGCTAATACAGATAACTCTAAGGCCAATGGTATATTGAAGCATTAAAGGGACTTGCTAATACAGATAACTCTAAGGCCAATGGTATATTGAAGCATTAAAAGGACTTGCTAATACAGATAACTCTAAGGCCAATGGTATATTGAAGCATTAAAGGGACTTGCTAATGCAGGTAACTCCCAAGGCTAATGGTATATTGAAGCATTAAAGGGACTTGCTAATGCAGGTAACTCCCAAGGCTAATGGTATATTGAAGCATTAAAGGGACTTGCTAATACAGGTCACTCGAAGCATCAAAGGGACTTGCTAATGCAGATAACTCATAGGATGATGCTATATTGAAGCATTAAAGGGACTTGCTAATGCAGGTAACTCCCAAGGCTAATGGTATATTGAGTCATTAAAGGGACTTGCTAATGCAGGTATCTCCAAGGCCAATGGTATATTGAAGCATTAAAGGGACTTGCTAATGCAGGTAACTCCAAGCCCGATGGTATATTGAAGCATTAAAGGGACTTGCTAATACAGGTAACTCCAAGGCCAATGGTACTTGAAGCATTAAAGGGACTTGCTAATGCAGGTAACTCCCAAGGCTAATGGTATATTGAAGTATTAAAGGGACTTGCTAATGCAGGTAACTCCAAGGCCAATGGTATATTGAAGCATTAAAGGGACTTGCTAATGCAGGTAACTCCAAGGCCGATGGTATATTGAAGCATTAAAGGGACTTGCTAATACAGGTAATTCCAAGGCCAATGGTATATTGAAGCATTAAAGAGACTTGCTAATGCAGGTAACTCCAAGGCCGATGGTATATTGAAGCATTAAAGGGACTTGCTAATACAGGTAACTCCAAGGCCAATGGTATATTGAAGCATTAAAGGGACTTGCTAATGCAGATAACTCAAAAGACAATGCAATATTGAAGCATTAAAGGGACTTGCTAATACAGATAACTCTAAGGTCAATGGTATATTGAAGCATCAAAGGGACTTGCCAATGCGATAACTCTAAGGCCAATGGTATATTGAAGCATTAAAGGGACTTGATAATGCAGGTTACTCCAAGGCCAATGGTGTATTGAAGCATTAAAGGGACTTGCTAATGCAGGTAACTCCAAGGCCAATGGTATATTGAAGCATTAAAGAGACTTGAATATACCTCCAATGGCTGCTGAGAGTCTCTCCTGTGGAAGTTGGGTCATCAGATAGTAAAATCCTTTGTTCTCTTCACCTAGTAAAGCACTCTTTGGTAGACGTATGTCCTCAAAGAATAACTCTGATGTGTCCTAACAAGAGTTGATTGTTTCATTTGAGTTTTTGGAACAACTCACAAGATGAAAGCTTTAACTTATGACACTGCATAAAGCTCCTGATACAATATTGTAATCTCACTCACTAGTAGATATGCAATTTACACTCCCTGCAAACTGCAAAACTCGAACAACATCAACCCTATTTAGCCATATGTTAAATGACTATTTATGTTTGACAAATTATCAGTCATAATAACCAACTTAATGAAAATTATGGGAAAATTTGATTTCAAAATAAAACTTGCTTTAACAGGCTTCCCAAAGGGGAGAGTCATGATTGCCACACTTTTGGAGGGGGGTGTACCATACCTGCGCTTTAAGACCCATCTTCTTCAACTTTTTGCCTTTTTTAAATCCTTTCATTCCATCTTCAACCAGGAATAAGCTTATACCATGCGCTGGAGACTTTGCGTCCGGATTTGTTAGAGCCACTACTACCCCTACCCCCATCATCTGCCCATTTGTGATGAACACTTTGCTCCCATTGAGAATGTAGTCATCACCATCTTTTTTAGCATTTGTTCGCACACTTTGGAGATCACTGTAACCATAGTAACCATGCTGTCAGTTTGGTTGTCATAGCGTAAGCAATGCATTATAACCTATTATAACTAGTGACCATATTTCTTTGTTTGTTTCAATAATGTAATAATGAATGGTAATAGCAATAGCAGCATTTTTTGATTACAGTTACCATAGCACTGACATTGTAAAACAAAGAAAAATATGGATTTGTCAAATGTGCATCATTCTGATACTCATCACATCTTTCTGTTTTTCTACAAGAAATATCTTTCTAAAAAGGAACTTATAGAAGGCCATGATTTCTAATGATATATGTGGTTGCTAAAACTAAGGAAATCAAAAATCACAATGTACGTTGATTGTCCAGGTAAAAAAACACAATATAGCACGAACATGATTAATAATAGAGATAATGACTGTTTGAATTGAATTGAACACATTTGTAGGGACATTCTCATTGAAAATTGAAAATTTAGATATCTAAAAAATAGGGAGATCAATGTGTGCCCATTTGTTTTACCTGCCTGCCCCAGGCTCTGTCATAACAATAGCTCCTATACAGCTGCCATCAGCCATCTTGGGAATAAACTTCTCTTTCTGCTCCTGTGTACCATAATTCTGTAGGTATGGTAATACAACAGCTGAGTGGTTGCCAAATCCACAGCCTGAGTGGTTGATGTAACTCCTACAGTATGGAAAAGGTAAAGGAGTAATGGGTACAGGTGAAGTCCCATCTTTATTGTAACCAGGTTTGTGAAACAGCAAATTAATCAATACAAGGTATAATACAAAAAACACTGCCATCCCTCATCAGTTTAAAACTACATAAAGAAATGGGTCTGAGGAACATTTGATGGAAATGATTTATTTGAATCAAGGGATTTAACTTTGTAGACTCATTCTAGCCAAAAGTGTTAATTGTGTCCATGCAGTATATCCATTGTTTTTCAGCTATGTATGGTTACTTACTGTTCCTCGACCATAATGATGTCATGCAGCCAAGTTCCCCCAGGACCTCCAAACTCTTCTGATGCAGCACAACACAAGAAACCTTGGGCACCTGCCTTCTTCCAGATCTGAACAAATGTGTAAATCAAAGGGATTGAAAGATGATTTGATTTTTGAATGTTTTCAATGTTATGAACATTGCAATTATAAAAGAACACAATTCATATTCTGTCATAAAGCTATGAATAAATGAAATATTATGTAATGTACATCTCAATTATATCATATCCCAAAAGATTAAGGTAAAAAGTGTGAAAATGTGAATTCTCATAAAAAAACATTTATATAAAAAGAACTGTAAATATACATTTTTAGTTGTACGTCCTAAAATCAACTTGAGGATTTTTAGAAAATGGATTTGGATCTGATTCTGCCTTTAATTTACATACTTGAATATATAGAGGTTATTTAATGGGAGGGATTGAATATGGGTTTTATTCTGTGGGAGAAAGAAAAGATATTTACCTCATAACTAACTTGGCCATCCTCCTCCCATCTGTAACAGAAAGCATTATATTATAATTTCAAAGCCTTCTTTTCCAATTGTTCAAGTTGTATACACCTCTTTTACCTTGATGCACTCCTTTCCAAGTGTAGAGGCCATTATTCTGCACTTAATAATGCTGGCACATTCTTTTCAAAAGTCTTTGAAAGTTTCAAAAAATGTCTATAGTAGTTTTTCAAGTCATGAAAATAATATTTGAATGATTAAACTATACATTCTTTTAAAACAGGGCACAGGGCCTTTAAAAGGGCAACAATTGAAAGAGATAGGCACATTGATTGTCACAAACACTTTAAAATGTTTGCTTTCCTCTCAACATAATTTTTATGACTTTAATACTATATTTCTTTGAAATATTTCTATTTTAAGCTTCAATAACAATGAAGCAGACATCCCCCTTGACCATTTCTGCCATACTTTGTATTTTCAATTTTCAATATTTTCCATTGAATAGGATTGTAGCTGAAAAACATTTGTTTGTTTTTTTGTAAAAATTACTTTCAAAATTTAAAGAGCACTCACTATCCAGTCTTTGTTGGTGGTACTTAAATCATTTACTTAATTCAACACAATTCAAACACATACATGTACATACTTATCATTATTTGGTGCAACTTCTTCACGGTAAAACCTTCTACAATTTTCTCTGAATATGTCATGCTCCTCTGTAAAAATTTGTCTGGTTCCTATATCCATCATGTTAGGAACTGTGGATGTCTCTGGCCTGCTACTGTATGGCCTACAAAATGTGTATAACAGTATTCTGTTTGTGTCCATGTGGTAAGTTATTTTCAGCTTCTTTCGGTCATTTTAGTGTAATATGGCCATGCATGAATAGAATATATAAAGTATATTGTCGTTATTATCAAAACTTACAGAGACCTTCAAAATTTAGATATTAACTTTTGCATGGTGACTATTCCTCAACAGTTGATATGAAGAATTGTTGTTGAGAATGTGCAAAATCTAAATTACCCTCTCTCCATAGTATGAACAATTTACTTACCTGTTAATGCGAGTGAATGTTGCCTTCTTCAATTGAGACGCAACTTTAGAAGATTTCCTAGCAATATGTCTGAATGCCATTTTATAGCAGAAATAAATAATATTGTATGAATCTAAATTGTGTAAATGTTATATTATCACAGTCAGGACTTCAGATATTGACACTTGGACTTTGTCCTGTAGCCCTGTAGCCCTGTAGTTTCAGTCCAAAGATAAATGCTCAATTAATCAAAATCTTTCAAAATACAATCTACTGATATTGGTATTTTTGTCTTTGGAATCATTTGAGCCATTTTCTGGATTGTTTTCAAATGCTAAATTACCTATAATGATATTTTCCCTTTTCCAATATGGAAAATTTCTTGTAAAGATGAACCTCTCTCTTTACACTGAGATAGGGTACATCTATGAATTCCGGGGTTCTTCCTCCTCTGGTGAAGTTCCATAGAAGAACTCTTCCAGAAAAAGAATATATGACCCTTGACCCTGGCCCTAATAAAAGAATACAATATTCCACACCCCCATGGCCATGACAGTGGCTCAGTAAGACTCAGAACTCATAGAACCCTATCTCCACATGGCGAATAAGTCACCCCTTCCTCTTATATTCTCTATATTAAAATCTTATATAGAGAATATTATAGGGAGGGGGGATTCACTATCTATCTTTGAATTCTGGGAATCTCCCTCTCTTCAAAACTTCCAAAACTTTTGACCAATCAATTAGCTGATGTCGTAATTTGCCATAAAGTAGAAGTTCGAAGCGGGACTTGTAAACATAGAAGTGCAGCTGCAAACATGGTAAGTTTTCTCATTATTTTAATACATTTCACTCATTTACATTCCATTTAACAAAAGATTCTCAAATTTAATACATTAAGCATCAACACACACGGAGATTTTTGGTTTGATGAATTGACATACATATCAAAACATTGATGAACTTTCTCAAAAAGTTTCTAAATATTTTCACATGTGTTTCCAATTTTGTGTTATTTGAGATGACAAACGCTGTAGATCTGTGAGGAGGACAGTTTGTATCAACGCATGCTATTAGGTTAATTAAGAAAGCAGTTTTCACTATATATTGTTTCCTGCTCATCTGGACAGGCTTTTACCTCCTCTATGTCTATGCACATGGAAGCGGAGGGGGGGGGGAGTAAGGCCGGTGTAAAAGGGTAGGTGGTCCTATCAAATTTTGGTCCTACTCTCTATTGATTTACATGGTGACCTAATTACAATTATTTTCCTTATTATTTATACACAGCCAGGGCCAGTAAGGGCCGTAAGGAAAGGGGACCATAATCCCCAGGGGACCATAATTTCTTTTACACCGGGTGTTTCAGTCTATACCCTACACATTCTAAGGGTAGTTTTATGTCACCACCAAGATTTTGTGACATTTGCTATAGTTACTGTTTTATGTTGATGGTCAGCAATCTGTAACAGATCGTTACACTTTTGCAATAGCTTGCTGGGTGGTGAAATCTTGTCATGTTAGTACCTTCTTATCACTTATATTGTGATATTGAAGCTGGGGTACTGAGTAATAGCATGGGCTTCTAATTGAAAGCCCATGGTAATAACTTAAGATGTAATATGTTGACAGCTTTTGTATTGCAAACCTGAATAATCTGATGGTCTGGTACAAAACTCAAAAATAGAAATACAAATCAACAAAGCAGGAACTAATGAGTAAACACACAGCAAAGGTATAGAGCAGGATACACTAAGTCATAAATCACAAGGAGCTCAGGTGCTTCATGACCTGTAGTACCTGGTCCTTATCAGCTAGAATATGTTTTAACATCATATACCCAAAATCCCTATCAGCTACACCACACACACTGAGTTTTACAAATGATTTTATGGAACAATACTCTAAGAACTTATCAATAGCCTCTTATGGGTACATGAAGGGTCATGGATTTCTTGCTTTATATTCTCATTAGATATACATGATTATATACATATGTTGGATGTATATGTTGTATATTTGATCAAAGTATAATCTATCTCCACCCTATCCCTATATCCAAACATTTAGATAAGTTACAAGTAGATAAGTTACAAGTAGATAAGTTACAAGTAGATAAGTTACAAGTAGATAAGTTACAAGTAGATAAGTTAGAAGTGTGAGGGGACTCCAGAAGACTGTTTGTAAAGTACATGTATATGAAAAGATTTGTAGGTCTAGAAAAGTGCATTGGTTGGTATGGCTAGATGTTAGAATAACCGGAACAAAGATTTGGTATCTTGCTTATAAGTGCTTTGGGATGACTTCCAAAAATGCAACAGAATCAAACAATGCCTGTTCCAGTCAATGCAGTTTTTATATCATTATGTGTATACTGTACATGTGCATGTAGATTTATCAATTTTAGAAACTTAGTTCTCCTCGTTTCTCCTCCAGGAGAAAATGGGATGTTCTCAGGAGTGTTTATGCATGATTACATATTAGTAAACTGATGTTATAACTGGATTTTGATAATAGCCTCACATGTTGCACCTACTTGAAACCTTTGTGCAATTGCAAATGTGCACTCTTTTGAGAACAAGTTGCACCCACTTGAAACCTGTCAGCACCCTATGGAAAATAAAATAAATTGTAAAAATAAAATAAAAAGGCTTATTTATAATTTGGGGTAGAATTGCATCCATCAGGGACCCGATCAGGGGATATCTCTGAATGTACACGTAGCAGTTGTATTTACATATTTGAACCAATTTATATCATGAGATGGAAAAACAAGATTTGCTATTTTATAAGAGAGTCAGGATTTCCCATAGCTATTTCACCTGGGAAGTTTATGAGAATTCTGTGTCCATTGACACAACAGGTCAAGTCAAGGTGTAGGGTTACTGTACATGTCTCTTTAATCAGCTGTTAATTAGGTACCCCACTACCCTTTAATTCCCATCATCATCAGCTAGCTACACTACTCTCTGACTGATACAGGTGATTTAACAGTTTTGATAATGATCAGGTCAAAACAATCTCTTGAATTATGGCCTCTTTTGGTGTATTAAATGTGAACGAATGTTGGCTACATTATAATGAAAATATATTTCTAGTTTTGTGATTTTTATATTTCATATGTCTTATTGGATATAGGCTAAAACAGAGGATTTTTGTTACTTGAGAGGGAAGATGATGCCTAGATCTTGTAAAGGGTATTAATTAGGAGTACCATAGGGCCTTATACTATCATTCACAGGTTTTTCATCTTAGATACCCTTGGGGCCTTAGGGTAAGGCTTAGAAGATCCAATAATGAACTTATTTTGTCTCCTGTCCTGAATATTAGATGATGATGGTAAACACCCTGAAATTGAGAGAAAGATGAAATGCAGTCAAACTTTAACTAATAAATTGTATGAATATTAAGCATAAAGCAGTAAGTCAGTAAGATTATACTATTGATTATCAAATTAAGAAAATTAATATTCATTGTTAATGAATAGGAAATAATTAAAATTATCTGCTACAGTTGTGCTTAATCTTATCTTTGGGAGACTGATCTAAATTCTTAAATTCTCTCCTTACCCAGAGCCAGACAGGCTCTACTATCCTCTGGAATAGTCGCAAGCTTTAGATAGAGAGAGACTCTGATAAATCAGAATGCTCCTTGCTAGTGTTGTCGCGATGTGCCATAATCGTACATCGATGCGTCAGCAATTTTCAGTAGTAAACATCGATGCACATCGCGATGTACATCGAGAAAAAGTCAGAGAAAAGTGCACTGAAATACCGAACGCTAATGCACTAAAATACCGAACAGAACATTTAATAAGAGTACGCTGGTACATACGGGAACTTCTAGTAACGGTGAAATGAAAGTAAAGTAATTTTTTTAGATTAATGGTTCATTTCGACTAGCTAAAACAGTTTTAAAGTGAAAGAATATCAGAAAACATTGGAAATGAAATAAGACATGAGAAAGGTAAGCGATTTGCGTCAAAATAAGATAAGAAAGGGTGATTTTTAGCAAATTAATTTTTTTTAAAAACATCGATGTTTTGTTTCAGACATCGATGCATCGCCATAATCAGATTTGGCGATGTATATCGCGATGTATCGATTAATCGCGACAACACTACTCCTTGCCCATCATGATGGTTACCCTGATGCCTAGAAAATACTATATCTAGTTAACACTAGCCTCTGTCAAGGAGGATAGACAATTTTGAATTTTGATGCTGATAGGATCTTTTATAAAGGGTCTGCTTAAATGTAGTGACTAAATTTGTGATTGGGTCAGGTTAGCCATATTTTGGACCTAAATGTCAAATTGGGTAAGGCGCGATCAAAGGGTTGTTTATTATTGGAAGAGTGGAGATAATGCTCTTTTTAAAGAGGTACATATAGGTATACATACAGTCAATCATGACTTATCAGCATATACATAGAGAGTGTAATTGTAGTTTAAAGTGTACTTTTGACTCGACTTTATGAAAACTAGAACTGCAGAAAATATGACCTTGCATAAATGGGGCAGTGGGGAGGGTGTGGGCTAATGCCTGATGTATGCATCTTGTATAATGTATCTTGTTTGGCTTATGTCTGTACATCATGAGAGTCTTGGTTGTGAATCATTATACAATTATATCATGCATCTGCTATGAAGGTACAACAATGTTAAAGTGTAGAAATGTTAGAACGCATCAGGCATACTAACAATCAGTACTCTACATATATTAGTCTGTAAAAGAGCTACAAAGATGGTCCATATAGATGGAGATGCAATCCATCTTCAAAAGCATTCTGACACTCAGACCATCTCTGCCTTGCAAAGAATGCTTCTTGGAAGGTACTGCTCGACGGCTGTGATCTCTCACGATGCTTCGAAAGTGTTTAAAAGTTAATGTTTGGTATCAAGAGAACATTTTGAATTAATATACATTAAAATTATATTATATATTTGATTATTTGGTATTTAATTATATCATACAGGTTTAATTACTTTGATTTGATAAAATACATGTACCCTTTTTATCGTACTTAACAAAAGGTACGATATTGTAGTCAGCTTGGCGGGCGGGCGGGCGGCGTCTCACTTTTCAACTTGTCTACAGGTTTCCAGCCAAACCATTTGAGGGATTCATCTGAAATTTTCAGGGATGTTTCTACATATCAACGTCAAGAACTGATTAGTTTTTGGGCATTCTGGGTAAATCTTAAGGTGGCCATTTTGGATTTTGCGTCCTAAAATTTTCACTTTCAAGAATTGTCTACAGGTTTCCAGCCAAACCATTTGAGGGATTCATCTGAAATTTTCAGGGATGTTTCTACATATCA